TTCAATTCAATTCAATTCAATTCAATTCAATTCAATTCAATTCAATTCAATTCAATTCAATTCAAGGGAAAGACTGTTCTAGATTGTCAGGACATACACACGGGGTATGTTGGGGGCGGGGTGATTGACCTACCCTGATCAAGCAGGTTTAAAACCCAGGAGCTCGCTGGAAAAGCTCTGAGGGAGGGTGACTCTGTATCCCAGTTATCCTGCTGCCAGGATTAGGGAACAGTGGTGGGGCACAGCTAGCCCAGGCTAGACTGGCAAGTACTCTAATAATGGAAGCAAAGCATTCTTGAGACGAAGGGGATGGATGCTCTTGAACCCCAGTACAAGGTGGAAAGGGTACTCCCATAAGGTAGAGGCCCAGCCAGTGCCAGGGCATTGTCGAGGGGCAAGGTTAAGGATGAAGAGCTGATATCCATGCCTGTGCAGTTTGAGAACTATGATATCCCTTGTGGACTTGTCAAAGGATGGCTGAGGGAGTTCTGGCTGGGAAACCACAGGTCCAGGTTGGTGATTGCTAGAGGGACTGTAATTTGAACATACTAGTCTCTGGTCTAGTTTGGCTGGATAAGGCTCTTTGCATCCTGGATTGCCTGGTTTCTGAAGAGCCTCATACTCATGTATCAAGACCTCTTTCCACATTGAGTTGTAACTCTACTACCTCAGTAGCTGAATTCTCATGAGCACTTGAGTTTGATTCTGTAGTAGCTGCCCCTTCCTGTGCCATGCCATGAGTGTGTGTATGATAACCAGCTGTCCTGTGGCTGATGAGGATAGCCGTGTGCCCAAAGACCAGGCTTGGAATGAAGGTTTCTTGTATAGTATCATCTCTCCCCATATATGCAAAGTAGCACACACACACGTAAAAACAGTTTATAAAACACAACGGTACAGTCTAAGCAATACCTGTTATCCTAGCTGGGTGATGGTGGTGCACACCTTTAATCCCGGAACCTGGGAAACAGAGGCAGGTGGATCTCTGCGGTTCAAGGCCAGCCTGGTCTGTAGAGTGAGCTGCAGGACAGCCAGGGCTACACAGAGAAAGGCTGTCTTGAAAACAGTCACTCACTCACTCACTCACTCACTCAATCAGCTAATTAAACAAAAGCTATTATCTTATCCAAGATTACCATTTTAGTATTCCAGTCCCAAGCAGCTGTTAAAGCAAGACCTGGTTGCCCGCTATGGCCCCGCTGATCTTAAACTGGTTCTTCTTCGTCCTTCACGACATGTGTGGGAAGCCTCTTAAAGGCTCTGCAGTGTTTCTCTGACCCAGACTATGGTATTGTACCAGGCATAATCATTTAAGCTTTGCAGGCCCTGGCCTAGGAGTGTGAACTGAATTCTTCTTGGTGTTCCCTAAGCCCTGTTTCCAAAGTCATCCATTGGACTTAGGAAGAATGGCCTTCCTGGACTTGGTTGCATGGGAAGGAAAGCCACAGAGCTGCTCTGTGTCAGGGAGAAGGTTCTGAAAAGAAGGGCTTGGGTTAGCAGCACTGGGTACCCGTTACTAGCGTGGAACATCCCTGTCACCACACACAGGTCTTCTGATAACATGCCACATATCACGCATCCCTCTGCCAGCCGGGTACAAAGAGGAGATGGTGCGGTACCTGCGGTCAGTGCAGCTCCCTGATGGCGGCTGGGGGTTGTGAGTATGCTTAACAGCACATATCTCCATGTGTGTGCTTGCGTGTGTTTTATGTTCTCATGCTTGGGTTTTCAGGCAGCTGCTGAGAAGTGGGGTGACTGCAACCATGGACCTAGGGTGGGGCAGGCGAAAGCCTGGCCGGAGGAGGGTAGGCTGGTACCCATGCATAGCCTGACCACGCTTTTACCTCTGCTGTTGTGAATGGCTCTTGTGGTTGGCAGCCTCTTGGGACTCACGTGCCAAGTTAAAGCCAGCGTATTTTAAAACTGTGGAGGCAGCAGAGATGGCAGCAAATGTCGGGTCTCACAGACTCATCTCAGTCTGCTTTCCTGATGTGGTACACACTCTGGGAGTAGTGAGTAGGGCAGGCTCTGCCCAGATGGTTTTGAAACATTTGGATGTCTTCTGTTGAGTGAACTGAACTTTCCCTGGGCGTCCCTGAAGTGTGCTTTCTGTGTTGTCATGTTGGGGGGAGGTGTTACAGCAGTCTTTGCTAGGTACACTTCATTGCCAGTGTTGTTTCATTTTTTAGAAGTAGCAACAGATGACAGAAGCCCTTTCCCCATCAGTCTTATACTTCCACTAGGCACATTGAGGACAAGTCCACAGTGTTTGGGACCGCCCTGAACTATGTGGCTCTCAGAATCCTGGGTGTCGGGCCTGATGACCCTGACCTCGTGCGCGCTCGGAACATCCTTCACAAAAAAGGTACGTCCTGCATGGCATGTCAGCGTGACGAGCTCTTGTGAATGGGAATTAGTAAGATGCACCTCTGGTTGGAACACTCGGGAAAACACGAGCAGGGTGGAAACTGTTGAGTCGTTTAATAATTATTATTATTAATTTTAACTATTTGAAAAGACGTATTTATTCTTATGTGTATGGGTGGTTTTGCCTGCATGTACGTCTGTGTACCACATGCAGCGGTGCCCATGATGGCTAGAAGAGGGCGTCAGAGTCTCTGGAACTGTACTTACAGGTACTGTTGCTAGCCACCTGTGGGGTTCTGGGAACTGAACTCAGATCCTCTGCAAGAGCAGTATGTGCTTTTAACCTCTCGAGCCATCTCTCCAGCCCTAATTTTATTATTTTTAATTAATTCATTGATTAGTTAATTAGTGTGTGTGTTTGTTTTGTGTGATGGGTATGCACTTAGCCTAGCTGCAACTTGAATTTTTTTGGGGGGTGGTGGTGTTTGTTTGTTTGTTTTGAGACAGGGTCTCACATAGCTCAGGCTAGCCTTGAACTCACAATGTAGCCAAGGTTGGCCTTGACCTCCTGATCCATGTCCCGAGTGCCGGGATTACAAGCACACACTACCGTGCCTGGTTTATGGAGTGCTGGGAAGGGATTGAACTCGGGGCTTTGTGCCTGTGAGGGAAGCCCTCTACCAGTCAAGCTATAGTCTATAGTTTAAAGCAATTTGGTATTTTATAGCCTGCTTTCTTCATGAAAAGCAGCATGCTAATACAGTGCTAGTGGGATGGTCCACACAGTCTGCCTTTTGGAGGCAGCTGAGCTCCAGGTTAGCAGCCCCAGTGAGGGAGTTCTCATCCCCTCCACACTTGTCATCTTCTCATCCCCTCACACACACATCATGAGCCTGGACACGATTACTTCTCTCCTCACCTGTGGGCTTTAAAGTCCCTTCCAGGCCTGAGCAGGCCGCATGGCTCTCTCTGCTCTTAGAACAAAGCTTCTTGTTCCACTCTCCTGCCGCAACACCTCCTGTGGGCCTGCACTCTGCCCCTCCGAGGCCTACGCTCCTGTCTCGCTCTTTGCTACTTGTTCCAGGGCCTCCTTTCATTTCGCCAAAGTGTTTTCCTGCCTCAGGGCTCCCCTGCACCCTCTCCCCTCACCCCACGTTCCACCCTCACCCGGCCGTCTTGGAAACTCCTCTTCACACTTATAAATGTGCCTTACATTTCACTCCTTCAGGATGTCTTTCTGATCTCCCAGGCTAGGTGAAGTGTTCTGTATGCATTAAGAAACTCTGCAATCTTCTTTGAAGTCTCTGTCCCTGTTGTGACTAAGTAAGTCATCAGGAGCCTCCGACGTTATTGATCTTGTACTCTCAAAGTTCCCTTCTGTCCTCCTGTCGCTCTCTTGTTCTAATGCTTGCCCAGAAGAGGAATGTGCTTGCGTCATGCTTTCACTACTAGCTCTCTTGGTCTTTGTGACTTTGACACACTTGAATTTAGGACAGAACTTATAAAATGTGTGTAAATCAGTGTTGCCCTGTGTTGCACAAGAGACTGTTGCTTGGTAGGGGCAGGGAAGGCTCTGAACGTGGGGCTGCATGTCCTGCATGTCCTGCAGTCACTTGTGCTAGGCTATCTGCAGAATGGAAACACACAGATATGCAGCTTGGGCTTGTTGGAGAAAGAACAGCCAAGCAACACCCCCCCTTCCCTCTTCCTCTAGGCTCATGCCACTGTGTGTATCTGGGTCCCCCCCTCTCTGAGCTACCTGTGCAGGTAGCTGCTTTCATGTGTTCCTGCTTGGGGACAGGGGTATAAACAGCTCTTTGCAGGTTGGACACACCTGTTCTTGGCTACTGTTTCTACCCAGTGGCTGTGGTGTTTTAGGCAGGTATGGAATATGTCTTCTTATCTGGGAGTCACAGGACTCATGGAAGGCTGACCTTTAGCTCATGCAAGAAAGGGCACAAGAGAAAGCTGCAAGCCAGTATTCACTGTAACGGTAGCTGATTGTTCCTTCTGTCTTTGCAGGTGGTGCAGTGGGCATCCCTTCCTGGGGGAAGTTCTGGCTGGCTGTCCTGAATGTTTATAGCTGGGAAGGACTCAATACCCTCTTCCCTGAGATGTGGTATGCCTGCCCTCTGCCTCTTGCACTTCCTTCTCATAGATTGATGAGACCTAATGGGGTGGATTAGCATCTCACTAGAGGCGCTGATATGTTCTATAGATAAATAGAAAGAGGACTCTTTTAGGCAAAAGCAAGGCATCAGACTACCCAGCTCTGTAGCAGGCTGTGGGGCCCTGTAGGGTAATTACAGTACCCATTGTGTGGCTTGGTCTTTGTGGTAATAGACAACAGATCATACCTGGTAATTAGAAAAACTCAGAGTATATATAGAAGTAAAGGAAAGGACCTACCCCCCCACCCACCCCCACCAATCCCTGTATCTCTTTCTTAACTAATTTATGGTAAATGTTTGGGAAGTCCTAGATATTATTTCACCAATAAGCACTTACTTGTGCATCTTTAAATTTTGTTTTTTTTGTTTTTTGTTTTTTTTTCAGTATTTACCCAACAGAGTCAATGCCTATTCCTTACTAACTGAAACCTATGGTCTTTGTATTTTTCTTTTTTGTGAATATCTTATAAAAGCATTGGCGCCATATGTAATGCGTGCATAATTTACCCCCAGATTACACATACTAGGCGGTAAGGTCCCCCAAACCATACAGAGTGCATGCAGAGCCTGCTATCCTCTTGAAGACAGAGTTGGGGGATGCTGTGGTATAAATCTCACATGCAGAAAGACAGGATGCGAGGGGCTATTTGGGAAGGACAGCAGGGTCCTGAAACAAGAACTGGAAGGCTTTTTTTTTTTTTTTTTTTTAACTAGAAGACTTTGCTCTGCACGCTGGTTGAGTGGGATAAGTGTGTGGCAAATGCCTGGCCCAGTGAGAGCTGTGAAGAGAGCTATCCACGTGTAGGGCAGGGTGGGTGTACTGTTACTTGAAATGCAGAGGTATATTAGACTTGCGCTAACATCCAGTGGTCCGTCACTGGCAGCTCTCCTGGCTAGGGGCTAGACTTGCCTGGGGAGGTGCAGCCAGAGGAAAACCTTGTCAGGGTGGAGTGGGGGGCGAAAGCCTGGGGCTTCTGGTCTGTGTCCTTACACTGTAGGGCTCCTCCTATGACTATATGTGGAACTAGCTCCCTAGTCATTTGGCTTGGGACATAGATGCAAGTGTGTATAAAATGGATGAATGTTTTCACAGCAGCATGCCTGGAGGGGCCCAAGGCCTCAGGGCTGGTAACAGTGTAGGCTTATGTTCTTCTGTCCCTCGGACACAGCCTGCCTCTTCCAGGCTGTTTCCTGAATGGGTCCCTGCGCACCCCTCCACTATCTGGTGTCACTGCCGGCAGGTCTATCTGCCCATGAGCTACTGCTACGCCACTCGGCTAAGTGCCTCAGAGGACCCACTGGTTCAGAGCCTCCGCCAGGTAAGCCTCGTGGTCTCTAGGGACCTTGTGAGGAAATGGCACACAGCCTTTGGGGTCTTGGGCCTCGGGAGCTTGACTGCTTCTCAGTACTGTGGGGGTCCTAAGGAGTCGCTGCCTTCTCGCCTGTAAGCGAACGTAAACTGCTCAGAGGGATCTGGGCTATGGGAAGGGCATCTGCCGTTGCACAGTGTCCCGGTGTCACTTGGAGAGCTCAGAAGCTGCAGTCCTAGCCTGTGCTTGCAGTGACTGTTCTTGGGACTAAGCCCTAAGATGGACTTTGGGAGCAGGGTTTGCACTAGAGTGGGACCTAGGCTCTTAGGGCTGGGACAGTTCCTCAGATTAGCACTGGTATAAATGAACTAGCCAGACCTCACACCCTGTAGTGATAATTCATTGGATGTCCCTACCCCTGAACAGAGATATGACCCAGAACCCTGAGAGTGCACAGCCACTCCTGGTTAGAGTTAGTTTACCTTCTCTGTCTGCTGCTTCTGCTAGGCACTCAGGTATGCCCTGCCCTTTAGGAACTCTATGTGGAGGATTATGCCAGCATCGATTGGCCAGCACAGAAGAACAACGTGTGCCCCGATGACCTGTACACGCCACACAGCTGGCTGCTGCGTGTGGTGTATGGTGGGTGCCTCCTGAAGGTTGGGGGAGCCTGGGCAGTGCACAGTTAAGATGCTGCTCGGCTTTCCATGTTAATTCATTCACTCTGTCACTGCAACACACGACCTCTGTGCTGGGCCCTGGCGTGGGAACCGGAAAGGCATATCCTTGCTCTGGTCCCCCAACAAGAACCAGCCCCTGCCCAGTGATACCCACTCAGCATCACCTAAGCAGGGCAGGACATGGTGGGAGATAGGAAGCAGTCCTTCCTAGATGGGAAGGAGGAGGGATCCCAGGGGCAAGGAGAGGTCCAGATGCTGTACTGTTGAGGACCCATTCGCCTCTGAATAACTAGGGTGCAGCCCGCCCCACATATCTCTCCTAGTGCCGGGTGTTCACTCACGTCTTCTCCCCTGCAGGCCTCCTCAACCTGTATGAGCGTTTCCACAGCACCAGCCTGCGGCAGTGGGCCATCAAGATGCTGTATGAACACATTGTAGCTGACGACCGGTTCACTAAATGCATCAGCATTGGCCCGGTCAGTGTTCTTCCTCTCTGGTCCCTAGAGCAGCTTTGGTGGCACTGAGGTCCTTCAGATGTCCTAGGAGCTAGGCTCTGTCAAGCTAGGAATGAGGCAGGCTTATTTCCCAGATCCCAGCACATCTCCATTTGGGTCAATACATTTGAAGCACCACCTGGATCCATTCTCTGGGCTCAGTCAAGCTCTTTCTCCCATTGCCCTGCCTGGCTTTTGTCTGAGTCTGAATGCCTCCTGGAAGACTACTTCTCGAGCTTCCTGGCCAACTGGGTGGGGCGTTTCCCCCTCTGCTCTTCACAGATCCCACCCCTAGATAATTCACCTTCCACCACTTAGAGGTGGCAGGGTTATGGGGGAATGAAAACAGCAGGACTCTCATGTTCAGCTTCTGGTCTCTCTCGCATCTATCTGTGGATGCCAGGCGAGCTTCTGATTTCGATGTGCTTCCTGGGCCTGGCCAACTGTGTACACACTGAGGGATCTTGAGGAGCACACACCTGAGGCTGTAGTCATATACTGGCCAGAGTCACTAGAGAAAGGAAGCTGTCCTCATGGATGAGACACAGTCAGGATGTGGGCTGGGATATTGGTTACGGTACTGTGGTTGGTTGCCTATAGGTTCTCCAGATAAACACAACTAGCACTGAGCTTCCTCCTCTCTCTCTGTGGACTCCTGGTCCTTCTTTGACTCACCCGAGCTTGCCCAGATTCTTACTAGCTTCAGTTTGAGTCTATTCCCAGGGCCGTGGATGTATAGCAAATACTTAGGAAACCCCTTTAGGACAAATGAGGCCCCAGCCCACGGTAAAGTTGCATGGGTCCTGATGGCCATATATCCTACAGATCTCAAAAACCATCAACATGCTTGTCCGTTGGTCAGTGGATGGCCCATCCTCCCATGGCTTCCAGGAGCACGTCTCTCGGATCAAAGATTACCTTTGGTGAGTGTGGTTGAGTAGTCACTGGGATGTGGGGCAGAGTGCTCCCCAGAGACACGCAGCTATAACGCTGGGCCCCATGGCTCATCTAGTTAGGGGGCGAACCGTCAAGCCTCTGAGAATGTTTTATGGAATCGGGAGCATTGCCAGTTAGATTGTCTTGGGAAGTAACTAGCAGTAACCATGGTAATTCTCAGAGTCAGAGCCAGGAAGCCTAGGGACGCTGTGCCCAAGGTAGGGACTGTCACAAGGGCAGGGAGCCCTGTCCTTACAGAGGCCAGCTTCTCTGGTGGTGGTATGAGATAGGATAGCTAGGTAGACCAGCTCTAGAAGCCTACGGCACAGGCTAGTGCCCCTGGGTAAGCTGCTGTCTTGTTTCTGCTGGATGTAGCCCTTGTGCTGTGAGCCTAGCTGGGCAGCACTGAAGTCAGCACTGAGGAGAGGTGGGTAAGGATGCTGCCAGGGGGATCTGTAGGCTCTTTTGCATGTGTGTAGCTCCTTAAACCTTGTCCCTAACATAATCTTTTCTTGTCCCCATAGGCTGGGCCTTGATGGCATGAAAATGCAGGTAAGGGCGTAGAACGGAGGCTGCTGGCTCTCTCTGTAACCATCTCCACCTCTCTCTTTTTAATCTGTTTAGATTGATTATGCTTCAAAAGTGACAGTCAGGCATGGTGGCACTTAGCCCGTAGTTGATTAAAGCAGGAGGAGTGTGTTTGATACCAGACAGTGCTCTACAGCAAGACCCTGTTTCTGAATTAAAAGAGGGGGTGGGAGTGGGTCAGGAGTGACAAACCATGAAAAAAAAAAAAGAAAAAAAGAAAAAATTACTTCCTCAATACGGTCCTTTAATCCTCATGTCTGTGGGGCTGTGGGCACCTCCTGGTCTTTATGGTTTGCTGTATGTTCTCACATGTCCCTCTGTGGTCATTCTTCAGAGCGGACTAAACCATTACAGATGCAGGCTTGACTCAGATCCCCCAGAAACCTTCATCCTATTACTGTGATGGGGAAGTGGCTCTGGGTGGTAATGGTGTCTCTATAAGGATGTCTGGATATTCCTCTGGCAGCCCAGTGAGAGCTGTGTGTTCTCAGCTCGCAGGAGGACCCTAGAGATTATAGTCTTTAGCCGCCAGTACAGGAGGAGCCCCCAGGTCAGAGAGGTGGGCCCAGGCCTGAGAACTGTTCCTTTCTGTGGTACCTAGTGGTAAAGGAGGGTATAGTTGCGGTTGCTCAGAACAAGCAGGAAGTGGTTTGCTGGAGATATGATGTTGGTGATAGCACGTGATGTATGGTCAGCTTTCCCCTAGATCATTCTAGGGCTCTAGCCAAAGGGTGGGCAGTGGATATGTTTCTCTCTGATCATGTGTTTAGCTGGGATCTTAGGCCCCTACAGAGCTATGAGGGAGCTTAGGTCTGATCACCCTGTAGGATTGGGAGCTGGAGTTCCTGTCAGATATTTAAAGATCCTGAACAAAACCCACTGTGGGCTTGATCATCCATTTCCTACACTGAGACCCAAGACTGCTATTCAGAAAACCAGATTCCCAGGGTGGGATTTGAAGGGACCTTTCTTGCTATATCAGGGCCACAGTAATGTGTCAACTGGGTCCTTGACACCTTAAGCATACTTGGAAATGGGGGGGCCTTTGTTTCTAGTTGTCCCATGACTGGGGTACCATGCTGTCCTGGGGTATGGAGGAGTCTTCAAGGGAACATACGGTTCCGAGTATCCTGAGAAAGCGCAGTTCTGCCAGGGCCTGTGAAGGCAGGTGGGGCTCTAGTACCCATGTCTGCCTGCAAGATTGAGTGTTCTTCCATTCCTTTGTCAGCTACTAGGGTGCTCAGGGCTCAGAATCTGCTGTAGGGCGTTAACTGGGCACTCTCTGACAGGCTGTGTCCTGGGAGGAGTCAATGGATGGGGTTGCTCTAACAGCTCGTCTCTATGACAGGGCACCAATGGATCACAGATCTGGGACACTTCATTTGCTATCCAAGCACTGTTGGAGGTATGTGGCTGTATTTCTCTGGGCAGCCCCCACGGGATCTTCCTGTGTGCATAAGCTACACATGCACGCTGAAAGAAATTATGCGACTTACCATGCCTCTGTCACTTGCCTGTCTCCCAGTCCCCTGGTGATAATCCTAAGCAAGTACCAGCTTTACTTTGTAACCCGGATGCTAAACTGGAGCTTTGTGGGGATAGCCCAGGGGGTGTGAGTGGGCGGGTGGTCCCTGGGCTGGGTGGGCCTGAGGCTCTTAGAACATTAGCTGCTACCTGAGCTAGAGAGAAAGAGTGTTTCTCTGCAGGTGGGGTGAGAGCAGTGAAATCCCGAGTGTGTCTTTGGACAACCCGGGGCATAGGCCAGGTTCAGCTTCCAGAGGTCAGGACAGTGGGAGTCTGGTAACTGTCCAGGGTGGTCTCTTCCGTCCGTTCCTGTCTTTAGTCACATCTCACTGTCTTTTCTATCTTTAAAGCTGGGAACGTTAGGAAACCTAGAAAACTCTTTAAGATGTGTCAGTTTCTGGAGGTGGGGGTGGGTTAGCAAGATATCGCCAGGACACTGGAGGACTGGCTCAGCTGTGCTACCCTGCTGTCTTCTAGGCACGTGCACACCACAGACCTGAGTTTCTGCCCTGCCTGCAGAAGGCTCACGAGTTCCTGCGGCTCTCACAGGTGAGGCCCGTGCCCTTTCCTCGTCTGCCCTGACTCCCCGAGATGGCTTCCTTAGCCTGCTTCTGTGCTGCTCTGCCCTGCCCTAGACCATGTTGGTGCACCGAGTCACCCTAAGGTAGCTCCGGCCATGGCCTGCAGTGGCTCATCACTCGATAGAGATTTTCTGTTCTTGTTACTGGAACAACTGTGTGCGGAGGGCCAAAGCCAGCCTATGGCACAGTCAGGAGTTGTATTCTTGAGTGTCACAGCTTGTTCACATCCTAGCCATCTTTGAGGTGCCTCAGGCCTGTGGGTGCCATCCATGAAGCCATGTGTAGCCATCTGGTTTGCCAGATCACTGTTTCTATTCCCCTGTCCTCTGATCCCACTGGGATGTAGCTACCTGGGGATCCTCCAGGCAGCTGATGCCCATGCCTGTCTGGGGTATTAGGGGTGTGTCGGCACCGTGTCTTCCATAGCAGGGCATACACTCAGTGGTGGGCCCCACGGCACATGCAGACCTGTTGTCTTGCTCCTTGAACTGAGTCATGCAGCCCAGGAGTACTGAGCTGGTGAAGCTGGACAGGAGAGTAGGTTGTTCAGCCCTCTGTGGATGATCTAACTCCCAAGTAGTGATGAGGCCGTATGGGGCTCATGGGTGTCACGGTGCACTGACTGTGGATGGCAGATGGCAGCACAGGGTCCCAGGCACCAACACGTTTCTGTTTTCCACATATGCTCCTTGCTACTATCCAGATCCCAGACAACTTCCCTGACTATCAGAAGTATTACCGCCATATGCACAAGGTATGTATGGGTGACCCCACCCCAAGCCCGAAGCCCAGCTGTCTTCCGTCCCTCTGAGGAGGGCTTTCGGTTGCTTTTCTAGCTTCTCATTCTGTAGATACCTTGTGTCAGGGCCTTCGTTATCCCCTGAGGTAGCCTGTACCTCTGTGGCCAGGCTTCAGGGTCATTCAGGTATCTAGCACACACAGAGGCTAAGTAAAGAGCGGAGCATTGAGCTGGAGTGTTGAACTCAAGGCGGAGGGTATAAGGAACTCAGGGCCAGCATCAGCCGCCTTTGCTGTAAGGGCTTGCTGATAGATGCAGGCTATGGAGTATGATGGTGACGTAGTGGGGTCCCTGGGGCGCACCTGCTGCTGTTTAGGTTCCGGACCTGTTTTATTGCTGAGATCTGAGGGCATTCGGGATGGGCATGAAGTCCTAGATAGTCCCTGTGCTGAAGCCGAAGTCTGCTCAACTATGCCCAATTTAGGTGCTGCCGTGCGTTGGTGGCTGGGCCTCTCCTGGCTGTTACAGCTCTGTAGGGAGGAGCACTGCTGCACTCTCTCCCTGTAGGGCGGTTTCTCCTTCAGCACACTGGACTGTGGCTGGATCGTTGCTGACTGCACAGCCGAGGCTTTGAAGGCCGTGCTGCTCCTGCAGAATCAGTGTCCCTCAATCACCGAGCACATCCCCCGAGAGCGGCTTTGCGACGCTGTGGCTGTGGTGAGCGTCTGCCTTCATGCTTGCTTCTGGGGTTGTGTCTTAGCAGACTCAAACTGAATTGTAGGACGTCAGAGTCTGAGACTGCACCCTGGGATAGATCCTTGGAACTTCGGTTGGGTACGAAGGCTCTGTGCTGGAAGATACGGTGCCTAGCCTATCCCAGAAGTTACAAGGAGGCCATGTGGTACCCAGGGCTTCTCTTCTTAGCCTGAGGCTCAGGGAACTGCCCACATTAGTGACAGGATTTCTGCAGGTCTCCTTTGGGAGGGTTGGTGGTCTGTGCTAGAAATCCAAAGGGTTGGAAATGTCTGTTCGTCTTTGTGCAAAGTCCTTTCGGCACATCTGGTTTCTGTGTATATTTTTCCATGGGGGTCTGTATTGGAGTATGTCTCCAGATGTTGTGCAGCTGCATGGGGTACCTATCAAGCATGAAAGCTGGCTTCTTATCCCTCCTTCCCGTCCGATTGGTTAGTGATGCTTCGGCAAAGTCATGGTGTTCTTGTATGCTCAGTTGTCTGGGTGTCTTCTCTGGTTTCAGTTGCTAAGCTTGAGGAATTCTGACGGAGGATTCGCTACCTACGAGACTAAGCGTGGCGGGCATTTGCTGGAGCTGCTGAACCCCTCAGAGGTCTTTGGTAAGTGTTGACTAGCAGCGGGTGTGTAGACCAGGCTTGGCAACACTGGCAGGTCCATGTAGAACCCTCTATGAGCCCCAGAGTATACAGTGCCTGCATTTTTCTGTCTCAGGCCATGGAGACCTTAGGCTGGGGTTATACTCCCCTGTTTATCCACAGGGCCTTGTGCTGTGTGGAGACTGCCATGTGCCCTGCATACACTCAGTGACTCCCAGCACTTGTAAGGACCTATGTCAAGGGCTCCCTGGCCATGACTATTGTCACTAAAGTTCTATTCTGTCAGGGCAAGCTATCTCGTCACAGACTCTGGAGCCTGCTCTCCCCTTCCCTTATGCTGTCTACTTATCATATGCTTTGAGCTGTCATACACGTGGGGTTTTGGGGTGGGGTAGCAGTGGTAATAGCCCGGCTGTTTTGTGTGTGTTTCTTATAGCCTAGGCATGCAGGTCTCACTGTGCCCACTGTGGCCACTCTGCCCAGGTTGATCTTGGGTTAATGTCTGGGTGTAAGTCCTGCATGCTTCAACACCCTTGCTCACCACAGTCTGGCCTGAGCCATAGAGCGCTCAGGTACCTCCTTCTTCCTTTCTAGGAGACATCATGATTGACTACACGTATGTAGAGTGTACCTCTGCAGTGATGCAGGCACTGAAGCACTTCCACGAACACTTCCCAGACCACAGGACAGCAGAGATCAGGTAAGGAAGGTAAGGCAGGACTGAGTAGGGCCACAGCTCAGCATTCCCTGACATCAGACCATGGTTCTTCAACAAGATGAGTGGAGGCACTGGCTTGAGTAAATAGTGTGTGTGTGTGTGTGTGTTTGTCTCTGTGCCTCTGTGTGTGAGTCTCTGTGTGTGTAGGTCTGAGAAAGACAGTACAACTGTAACATGAGAATGAGTTATTTTTCCTATCTTCTTGAACATGTTTTAAAATGGACATACATACTTAGCGTCTCCACCAGTGTCTAGGTAAACAGCTGCTAAGTGTTCTTTCATGTTGGGAGCTAATGAATGGTCAGAAGCTCTTGAGATTGTTATATGGGGACCCTCACGTCACCCGATTTACACCCCTTTGTCCTTCCCCCATGAAGGGACTGCCCTTCTGTGTAACAGCCATTTCTTTTGTAATGGCCAGTTCTGCTACTTTGTAAAGGCCGGCCGGTTCTGCTGCTCTGGTCCGCTGGTCAGGGTCTAGCAAGAGAGAGAGTGGGGACGGAGGAAGGGCGAAAAAGGGAGCAAGAAACGCAAGAGATAGATACAAGACAGAGTCCGGTGGAGTCTCTTCAAGTCTCTTCTTTATTCTCCTCTCTTCTATATTCTCCTCACTCCTTCAGTCTCCTGACACCTCCCACCTTCTCACTCCTTCCACCTTCTATCTTCTCAATAGAAAGGAAATCCTGGGTATTTATACCCTTTACCACGTGACTTGCCCTCGTAGACAAGCTCAACTGAAGCTACTACGTCACATGCCTTGTAGCCATGGATACCAGGAGCACCTTGCAGCTGGGGGCACTAAACAGTGTAACAAGATGTTTATCAGAGTGTGCTCAGCTGTTGCAGGCTATTGAAAACAAGTCTCTTGTCAGGGTAATGGCTCGAGATGTCTGTAAAGATGATAGCCACTTTCGGCTAGGAGTCGGCTCCCAACACTTCTGTACTCTCAGTCATGGTTTGCTGTCTCTCTCTTTGACCCTGCCTCGGTGGAGCCCCACACTGGCCTGTGTTGGCTCCTTTCACTGTTCGTTACATGGAAGTGCAGGAATGTTTCATTTGCTGGAAGTAACTACACGACAGCCCGTCCCTTCCGCTGGTTCCTGCATCCTTTTGGTCTGCCTTGTTTGTGATGTTTCTTGAGTCTTGGAGAGGTTGTATATCTGTTCATTTTCTCCATCTTTGGTTGAACATGGGGCTGTTCTGACATAGCAACAATTCCTTTGTCTCAGGAGCTTGACTGGTTATGAGTCTTTGTGTACACCTCTCATTATTAAAGTCACCATCCGTGACTGGTGACAGCCGAAGGCGGCAGGAATGTAAGGTGTAACACAAACGTTTAGAAGGGGCACATCAGATCTGTTTAATAAAGCAGTGTCAGTGGCCTCCTCATGGGGCCTATGATTTTCCTACCCATGACCTTTGCCCTGGCTTGCATATCACACGTGAGTTTCTTCCTTCGGAGGGGGCCTTACATCACAGCAGGAAGCCGTAAAGTTGCATTTTCTTACTATTGTTTTAATGTTGTGTTACTGTTGTATTAATGGGCACATCTTACCTGACGTTTCTACTGTGACAAGCGGGGTCCATAGCTGAGCTGAACTGTTGGAGATAGTCCTACAGCAACAGCCTACCTGCTGTCACCAACAGCCTATATGCTGTCTTCAGCATTATGAAAGCCAGCTCGCAAGGAAGTAGTTTCTGCTTTTGTCTTAACCTAATTTTGCCAAAGTACATGGTGTCTAAACAGTAGGGACTATCAGGCTGGAGAGATGGCTCAGTGGTTAAGATCACTGACCGCTCTTCCAGAGGTCCTGAGCTGAGGTCAATTCCCAGCAACCACATGGTGGCTCACAACCATCTGTAATGGCATCTGATGCCCTCTTCAAGTGTGTCTGAAGACAGCTACAGTGTACTCATATACATAAACATGTAATTCTTAAAAAAAGAAAATCCAGTAGGGACTATCTACTTTTGTTTTGCAACCAAAAAGAGTGACAGTGTCCTTACGGTTTGAGGGGCCTGTCTAATAGCTCCAAGGGAGGTAGCCCACTCCTAGCATTGAGAAAGTTCACCAAAAACCCATAGATAAAACAATATACATTAAAAGAAAGAGTGAGAGATAAAGCTTGGAGAGATGGCTCAGTTAACAGCATTCAGACTGATCTCCTTTGTCCCCATGAAACAAGGCATGCCTGGTACCTCCATCTCCCACTCTGAGACCGTGAGCCCAATTAAACTCTTTCTGCTGTAAGTTGCATGGTTGTGGTGTTTCATCACAACATCAGGAGAGTAACTAATACAGAAGCTGGTACTGAGATAGATTGCCGTGAGGGACCCAAGCATGTTTCTTTGGAGAATGCGGAAGGCTTTGTAATGTTGGACTAGAAAAGTAGTTGAACGCTGTTTGTAGATGACAGACCATCCTAGTAGGATGTTGGGAGACAGTGCGGAGAACTATGCCACCCGTGGAAGCCCAGCTCAACTGGGCCGCAGAGCATTCTGGTGATACTTTAGCAAAGACAGCTATTTTCTGCCTTCTCCTAAGAACTTGCCTGAGGCTGAACACGTTAGTAATTGCTCGTAGGCAGGTGTACAATGAAGAAAGGCAAATGGGACAGAAATACAGATGCACAGTTTGAAGAGGGAATTTACCTCGGGAGCCAGGCTGTGCTGAGAGAGAGCATGTGTTTCCCTAAACTTTGCCAGCCTGTGTTCCCTCCTGTGTCCCATAGCTGCTTCCCCCCACTCCTTGAACATGAAACGCCCCCCCTACCCCGTATGTTTTGATCTGTTTGAAGGGAAGTTGTTCTCATTCTCCTGAGACCCTTGTGTGGGCAGGATTGGGGAAGGCTTTGTAATCTGATCTGCAATGGTCAGCGGGCTAACCGCCTGTGTTACAGGGAGACCCTCAACCAAGGCCTGGACTTCTGCCGAATGAAGCAGAGAGCTGACGGCTCCTGGGAGGGGTGAGTAGACAGCCGGTGGAAGGTGGTATGCACCGGGGGCAGTCTGTCCTTTCTGCCCTCGTCCTGGGAGCCTCGGGGAGCTGGGGCTTCCTGGATGTCGTCGTCCTTGGCTGATGCTCCCTGCTGCATGCACCGGCAGGTCTTGAGTGCCTGGGTTGGAGGAGGCTGTGGCTGAGCCAGGTGAACAGTACCATCTTCAGGAGGTCACACTCCCGCTGCCTGGGATGTGTGTGAGCACTTCTTTTACCAGCTGCCCAGGCCCCTTCCTCCCTCTTTCCTCTCCCTTTCCAGCCCTCCGTCCTCTTTCTCTGTTTCTTACTCTCTCTTTGGTTTTGTGAGACAGTGTCTTGCTGTATGTCTCGGGCTGGTTTTAAATTAGCAATCCTCCTGTCTTAGCCCAGTGCTGGGAATGTACCCCCATTCTCCAGTCTAGTTCTGCCCTCCCTAGCTGAGGTTGTCCCAGTACCTGGATGGAGTACCTGTGCTCTCCCTTAGAGTGAAGACCAAGTCTGACATTCTCTTCTGTTCCCTCCAGCTCCTGGGGGGTTTGTTTCACCTACGGCACCTGGTTTGGCTTGGAAGCATTCGCTTGCATGGGGCATACCTACCAAGACGGGTGAGTGTGGCTTTCAGGCAGATGGCGGGTGAGGGCATTGCCAAGATAACTCTTCTGTTTTCTGTGCTGTGATAAAGCACTGGCCAACAGCCCCTTAGGGAAGAAAGAGTTTACTTCAGGCTTATACTTTCAGATCATAGTCCATCCTTGAGGGAAGTTAGGGCAGGAACTGAAGTGGAGACCATGAAAGAAAGCCCACTTAGCCAACTCCCTTACACAGTGGGCTGGACCCTCCCACTTTCTTCCATTGTTCTCTCTTCCCTGGTGACCCTGTGTTGACAGTAAAACTAAGCAGGCCAGTAGTGCTCTGCCATGGTGGTCTTTTTCCTTTGATATTTTATTTTAATATTTTTTAAACAGGTAAGATCACTATTTCAGAAAATGGGAATTCTAAGGACATATTTTCTTGGCTCATAAGCCTTGCCTAGGCATTACCTCAGCATCTTTCAAATCTCTCATCCTGATGAGAAAGGACTAAGGTCTTGGAATTCAGGAAAAGAGAACTTGGTTCAGGCCCTGTCTCTGGCTGCCCTAGCCAGCGCTTCTAGATCTAGTGGGTTTGGAAATCAGGGACGCTGTGCTGAGGCAGGTGCAACCCAGGGATGCCTCATTCTGTGTGCCCACATACCCAGCCTACAAGTGTCTGTAGCTGCAGAGTATTTTCCTCTGTGCCCAGCAACTCTGTGAGACATGTGCGCCCGTATCCACTCACTTCTGCAGGCCACCCTGTGACGCTAAGGCAGCCTGTCAGGATGTGGATTCACTCAAGTCATGATGGCCCAAACCTCCTGCTCTCTCTACAGGGCTGCTTGTGCAGAAGTAACTCAGGCCTGCAACTTCCTCCTGTCCCGGCAGATGGCGGATGGTGGCTGGGGGGAGGACTTTGAGTCCTGTGAACAGCGGCGGTATGTGCAGAGTGCCGGGTCCCAGGTCCACAGCACGTGCTGGGCCCTGATGGGTTTGATGGCTGTCAGGTAAGGGCAAAGGGAATCATCTGTGGGAGTGTATACTAGGGACAGCCAGCTTTGAGAAGGTGGCCTAGGGTAGGGACAAATGTGGGAAGATGTGAAAAGAGCCCCAGGACTGGACCACTATTCCTCTGTAACTGTGGATGGAGACAGCTTCAGAAACCACATCCCCGATTCCTAGGCTAAGTGGCAACCCGTGTGGATAAGGGTACCTGCAGAGAGACTCCTCTCTTAGACACGGTCCACCTGTCCATTGGTAGTCGGAACTTGATGGCAGAGCAGGAGCATCTGGGCCTGAGGGCTGTGGTGGGGAGCTGAAAGCACTGCCTCAGTACTCAGACTACAGCTGCTTCTAGCCCTCTTGTATCCATATTGAGCCACATGTACTGCACTGGTGTCCACAGGGGCACATATGCATCTGGATGCACATGCAAGTGCGTATCTATGTTTAGGTGTATACCTATGTGTTCACACAGGTGTAGGAGTATAGACACACCTGCTGTCTTAGCCTGTGTTGCCGCAGTACATTTGAAGCCATTTGGAGATCTTCTTGAAATCCCCACAGTCAGTGTGTACAGGGAGCCCAAGGGCAGGAGAGTCGTCAGTCTGTTCCTACTCTGTCCCCCACTGGTGGCCTTGCTTCTGTCAGATGCTCAGTGCATCAGAGCACCTAGCTTCTGTGGTTTCCAGTCAGCAGGTGACCAAGGGGGCTGGCTTATAGGTTCAGAGGTTCAGTCCATTATCATTAAGGCGGGAGCATGGCAACGTCCAGGCAGGTATGGTGCAGGAGAAGTTGAGAGTTCTACATCTTCATCTGAAGGCCTCTTAAGAGATTTACTTTCAGGCAGCTAGGACTAGGGTCTTAAAGCCCACACCCACAGTAACATACCTACTCCAACAAGGCCATACTTCCTAATAGTGCCACTCCCTGGCCCAAGCATGTACAACCCATCAGATTCCACTCCCTGGCTCCCATAGGCTTATTCAAACATATGAGTCTATGGGGGTCATCTATGGGGGCTGTATGTAAACATAGCATAATAAAAAATACATTTACTCCAACTTCCAAAGTCCCCATAGTCTATAGCAATCTCAACAGTGTTACAAGTCAAGAGCTCAAGGTCTCTTCTGAGATCCATCCAATCACTTAACTGTAATCCCCAAAGCAAGACCCAAACTGTAATTCCCAAAGGAAACCAGCTGGACAAACTCCAGACTCTGCATTTCCATGTCTGATGTCAAAGCTATCTTCAGATCCCAACTCCTTTTTCCTCTTTGTTGACTGCAACAAACTTCTTTCTCCTGGGCTGGTTCCACTCCCTGTTAGCAGATTTTCTCAGCAGACAGCCTATGGCTCTGGCATCGCAGAGGTCTCCAAGGCAACTGCAATGTTACAGCTTCTTGTTTCAATGTCTGGGATCCACACATGATCTTCTGGGCTCCTCCAAAGGGCTGGCCTCACTTCTCCAGCTCTGCCCTCTGTAGCACTCTAAGCTCTGGTTGACTCCACTCCACTGCCGTTGCTGTTCTTGGTGATCATCCCATGGTACTGGCATCTCCAATGCACTGGGGTCTTCTGCTGCAACTAGGCTTTACCAATAGCCTTTCATAGGCTCTCTTCATGGTGCCAAGCCTCAATTCCTTTGCCTGACCCCTTCAGTCCTGGACCATCAACTGCAACTGGGGCTGCACCTTCACCAATGGCCTTCCCTGGCCTCTCACTGTGCCAAGCCTCAGCTGCTCTTCATGACCCCTTCATGCCTTCAAAACCAGTACCACCTGGGTGACTCTTATACATTACCAAGTCCAGCCACAGCATGAGGTACAGCCCTGGCTATCTCAGGAACACAGGTCCTTTGTGCTCTCAGAAAATACTTTCCAGAAGATTTTACCTCAGTGATGCTGGTCTCTTCTTAATCACCACTAATTTCTTAGCTCCAGCTAACCAGCATCAATTGTCCCAGTTGTCCCTTCTATTCTGGACTCTAAAGCCAGAGCCCCTTGGTCAGAGCTGCTGAGTTCTGCTTCCAGTGGCTAGAACCTGATTCCCCTTATTATATCAGCAGCTTTCTGTTTTCTAACTCCCTCACTGCCTAAGCTTGGCTGTCCTGGAACTTGCCCTGTAGACTGACCTTGAACTCAGAGATCTACATGGCTCTGTGTCCTGGCTCTGGTACCACCATGCCTGGACTTAAGCTTTTCTTCACCTAGAACTTGCTCTGTCACAGGCTGGCTTTGAACTCAAGAAGGTCTACTTGTCTTTGCATCCTGGAATTAAAGGTGTGTCAACAAGCCTGAACCTAAGCTTAGCTGGGTGGGATCTTGCCCCAAGGTCCCACTCCTTTCATCTCCTGTCTCTTAGAACATAGGATTCAGCTCCATTCTACTTCCTAGTGCCCTTTTGATACTTGAACCATATATTTTCTTTTTTTCCTTTCTCAGCTTGCTACGCTTGTTCAGAATGCTTTTCATGAGACTTAACCAGAGAACAAAGTCTCTGTTGGGCTTTTTTTGAGACTTCTTTTGTCAGTGCAATTAATATAAATCTCTTTACCTTAGCCTCAAACAGTGTCTTTGGACAAAGCCAAAAAACAGCTACATTCTTCACCAGAATATTAGAAAAACAGTCTCTTGGCCACATATTAAAGTTCTTCTTCACTGAAACCTCTTAGGCCAGGAGGCCTACGCAATTCAAATGACCCTCAGTACCACCATCTTCCATATTCCCACTTGGATGACCCATTAAGCTCCACTTAAAGCATTCCATAGCTTTCTAAATCCAAAGTCTTAAAATCCACATTCTTCCAAACAAAAGCATGGTCAGGCCTATCACAGCAATACCCCACTCCTGGTACCAACTTCTGTCTTAGAGTCTTACTGCTGTGAGCAGACACCATGACCAAGACAACCCTTATAAGGACAACATTTAATTGGGGCTGGCTTACAGGTTCAGAGATTCAGTCTAGTATCATCAAGGCAGGAACATGGCAGCATCCAGGCAGGCATGGTGCAGGAGGAGCTGAGAGGTCTAGTCTACATCTTTGTCTGCAGGCCTCTAAGAGAAGACTCACTTCCAGAAAGTTTAGGGCTAGGGTATTAAAGCCCACACCCATGGTGACACACTTACTCCAACAAGGCTATACTTCCTAATAGTGCCACTCACTAGCCCAAGCATGTACAAACCATCACAGCAGGGTAGGCATAAGGCTTTTCTTCCTCCCTAGGGAATATATCAGCACCGTGTGCCAGCTATGTCATCATGGCAACTATATCGCCCCATCTGTGCACCCCCATCTCTGGGATACTCTGCTTCTCAGGGCTCATGGGAAGATTACAGCAGGAGTTTCTGGTGTTCTGCTTGTTAGAGTTTACCTCTGTCTTAGGATTTCATTGCTGTGAGCAGACACCATGACTACGACAACTCCTATAAAGGACAACATTTAATTGGGGCTGCCTTACAGTTTCAGGGGTTCAGTCCATTATCATCATGGCAGTGTGCAGGTAGACACTGTGGTGGAAGAGGAACTGAGAGTTCCACATCTTGATCCCCCTGCAGCAGAAGGGGATTGTGTGTGTCATACTGGGCAGAGCTTGAACATATATAACCTCAAAGCCCTCCTCCACAGTGACACACTTCCTCCAACAAGGCCACACCTTCTAATAGTGCCACTCCCTGTGGCCGAGCATTCAAACCCGTTCCTCCTCCAACCACTGCTATCATCGTCATGGGATTTGGAGACTTTTTTGTTCTCCTTGGATGCATGTTTCTACCACATGGTGGGTGTGTTCATGCCTGTCTTCTTGCCCCTTAGGCATCCTGACATCAGTGCTCAGGAGAGAGGGATCAGATGTCTGCTAGGGAAGCAGCTCCCCAATGGAGACTGGCCTCAGGTGTGTGAGGGATGGGTGGTCGTTCCCACACTGATTCCCAGCTTGCCCATTAGTTTGCACACGCTCTCCTATGGCCGTGTTCCTCTGCGGGGGCTTTGGAGACCTGGGATATGGGCACTGCCCAGCAGAGGCTTGTCCTGCTTGTAGACCTGAGATGTGGTGAGCACAGTTTGCTATCTGTAAAGGGAACTGGCTGGGGAAGAACTGGAGAGTTGGCGTCTCCTGCACAACCTCAGGTCTACCCTGTGTTTTTTGTGTGTGGTTCCTCATTAACGAGATGTGCAGATGGGTTTCCACGTGTCCCTGTGGTTATGGGGATTGTTAGAGACTACTAGACCAAGGAAGAATGTTTACCTCAAGCTATAGTCTCTGAACTGGGACCAAAGTAGAACAGTACTGTTGCCAGCCTGTGCTTCCCTGTCTTTGCTTGCTTGTCTTTGGTTCATCAGCTTTCCCCAGGCAGACTTGCCCTAGGGCTGGGAAGTTCAGTAGTTAGGACCACCATCCAGGGACAAGCTCCTTACCCCTCATTTTTCCATGTCTTTCCAGGAGAACATCTCCGGGGTCTTCAACAAGTCCTGTGCCATCAGCTACACAAACTACAGAAACATCTTCCCCATCTGGACCCTGGGTCGCTTCTACAACCTGTATCCTGACAATCCCCTCTCTGGCCACATTTGAACACGTGTGTGCCAGTGCTGCACCTGGCCAGCGTCATCACCATCCAGGTCCAGGAGAGCCTAGTTTCTTGGCTAGGTGATAAGAGCCTTCTTAGCCCCACCTAGGCCTTGTTCTCTATGTCTGTTGACATGAGGCTGGGGACAGGGTCAGGGTTGGTGACTTTAGACACTTGTCAGTGTGTGCTTAGTTCTGGGACTGGCTTCAGTGAGAAAGGAAAAAGATGAGCCTTGAGATCCAGAGAGGCACAGTGTACTCCAAAGCGCCTGGGTATCCTTGAGGGAGCCAGGCTATAGAGCTTTCACGATCAGTGACTTCCCTGTGAGGGAGCAGCTGGCTTCTTCACTTCCTCCCGTGTCGAGTGTGGAATGGGCCCTTGAGCAGACTTCTGTTTGCTGTGCTGGGGGAGTTAGAGCAACCCTTTGGGGTGGGTATGCTCAAAGAATGGCTCAGTGGCAAGTGAGGCAAGTCCCTTGCTCATTGTGCCCTGAGCAGTGTCTGTTGTCCCCAGAAACTTACCACTCATGACTGCATCACTGTATGAAACACCAGTTTTCCAGAAAGGAAATGCAAACTCACTTTGTCCTAAAAATGCTACTGAAAGTCATTTGAATGATCATGGACTCCCTTAATAAACAGACACTGGGCTGATGGCCCAGTTGTAAAGAACATTGGCTGCTCTTTCAGAGGACCTGGGTTTGCTTCCCGGCACCCACCTGGTGGCTAACAACATGTAACTCCAGTTCTCAGGGACCCAGTGTCTTCTGGCCTCTGTGGGCACTGCACACATGGTACATAGACATATATACACTCATAACACTTAGCCACATAAAATTAATCTTGAAAATAAAATATTAAAAATAAAACAACCCCTTTCCCGAGACATTTCATCCTGGAGTATATCCTGAGTCTGTGTGGCAAGGAGCCAGACGTAGTATCCAATTCTGCCCCTGGATTATAAGCTTACACACATCGCATTGGTTTCTGGGATGTCAGCATCCTGGTGTTCAGGCTTCTCATTCTTCTTGTTGAGGTAGAGAAGCACACGTGGGAAGCCATTAGGGTAGATAGTGGTTGTAGCGGTTCCTGCCAGGGGATGACACTGGAGTGAGGACAGCTGGTCACATGAGCTCACCAGTTAGTCCACCGAGCCAGCCAGGAAAACGCCTATGACACCCAAAGACCATTATCAGCTCTTATGCCAGCTGTGCCTTGAGTCCAAGTGAGGACCAGATTTCTGAGGCAGTCCTTGGGTGTGAGCTCTAAGTTCCTGATTCTGTATCTCTGGCCAGCATGCAGGCAGAGTGCAGGGTAGAAACCATGTGTCTCCTTGAAGTTGTTCCTTTTTTCCCTGGCCATGGTGAGCAGAGAGCTGGATGCCCCTTTCATGTTCCACACCCCTAGTGCTTTCTGCACTGGTAGTTCCAACCTCTCCCTGGCCCATAGTCTTCCCTCGGACAAGCAGAGAGCTGTGTCGGATCCCCTTCTCCCTGGGCAGGACCCTCTAGGACAACTGTTTGCCACGTTGCAGGTTCCCTGAGGCTTTGTGCCGTCTGCTGCCTGCCCAGCTCCCACCATCAGTACCTTGTGTTCAGACTCACTGGACTTTCCTGCCTTAGATTGTGGCCTGTGCCGTGAACAGCACTGACTTCCTAGCCTCTGCCGGGAGTAGAACTGATGGACTCACTAGATCTGCCCCTCACCCCCGAAGCAGTAGCAAGCATCCCTTGGAATTCCCAGTCACGACCAGATCACTGTACATTTGCAGGACCAGTCCCCTTAACAAACAGACAGCTGGCAAAACCTGCTTTAGGCTGTAGCGGGTCATGCTGCAGAGTTCTCGGGATTGAGCTGGATTACCAGCCCCAGTTTAGGGAGTTCTCTGGGTTCTGTGGGGAGTTGGTGGGGGACACTCACCAGATAACTGTCCAGAAGAAGTTCTTAATGATTTTTAAAATGAAAGTTTTAGCTTGTCAGGAATAATTTGTGCTACCATCCCCTGCTAAAGGGCTTGATGCCTGTGTCTCTGACAAAGTATTTTTTCCTTCTAAGATATGACTCATTGCTAAGTAGGATTAAATTTACTAAGATGTTTTTCTTTTTTTTTAAATAAAGTTTTACTGGATGCTGTTTTCTCATTTTCTGTTTTAGCAAATACAACTGTATATATATAGTTAATCAACTTGATTTATTTTTAATTAGTTAATTAATTAATTGGTTTGAGACAGGGTCTTACTGTATAGCTCTGGACATCCTGGAACTTACTATGTAGACCAGGCTAGCTTCCAACTCACAGAGGTTCACCTGCATCTTCCTCCCAAGTGCTGGGATTAAAGGTGTGCACTGCTACACATGACTTTCAACTTGATTTTTTTTTATCTTAGCTTTATTTTATCTCTGTATTTTATATAGATATTAGTACTATCTGTAGTATAAATTACTGTTTTTCTAAAGTTTCAGATGTTTTTAGTCAAAGGTTTACAAAAGAAATAGAACAGAAAAAGCTAACATTGTGACCAAATGTACAGTTCCAAAACAGCCTTTTGGCGTTTAACAGTAAGTCCTAGGAAGGAAACTGCGGTCACCCTGACCTGGTAGATAAGTCACCTGGCAAATCTGTAGCACCCGTAGAATGCTAAGAATTAGCTCTTGATCGTGTACATCACTATGAAAATCTTTTTTTAAAAAAATCTGTACAAAAGGTCTTTATAGATCATTTTTAAAATAATGTAATGTGATATGTTATATTTGTACTATGTGATATTTAACTGACTTTTGTTTTATGTATAGGGGTTATATTTCCCAGCTCTGACCCAGATGCGTACGGTGCTCAGTTCAGACATATGTAACAGCAGATTTTCCCTCCCCTCCTGACTGAATTATCAACTTCTTGTCTTAACTAATGCAAAAAAAATATCAAGTAGTGAGAGACCCAGAATGATACATGTGCTAGCAGGTACAAGGAGGGAGAGGTGTTCAGACTGGACTTCCACAAAGCAGCTTCCGGGGCTGGAGAGATGGCTCAGTGGTTAAGAGCACTGACTGTTCTTCCAGAGGTCCCGAGTTCAATTCCCAGCACCCAATATGTCAGCTCACAACCGTCTAACTCCAGTTCCAGGGGGTCTGACATCCTCACACCAATGCACATTAGATAAAACAGTTAAAAAATTATCAAAAATTGCCTTAATAAAGAAGTTAGTAACTGTGAATTATCTCATGTTCTGAAGTAAAAGTAATTATGAGTGAGCTATGTCACAGTTTCAGAGTTGGATCTCTTTACGTTTGAACACTACACACAATAGGTAGCCACGACATAAATAAAGTGTGGCACTGCTTAGATTCAAAGCTTTTTTTGTGTGTGTTTTTTGTCTCTGTGTGTCTATACGTCAATTAAAATTATAAAACCCAATCCCAAGGTACGAAACAGGTACATACATTCTCCTAAAACGCAAACAGGCCTGCCAGAAATGAGGAGTGGTGAAGATGTGATGCCAAAACAAGGTGGCCCTGATGACGACCTTCAAAAATGCCAAGTCATGTTTATTTTGTCAAAGTTACCTAATAGAGTGCATGCCTGCGAGCCAGCAAGCAACCCTGTATGGTTCTTGCCACACTTCTGCTGTAGGGCTTCCTTGGTCAGAGGCAATACTGTGTGGAATAAACAGACCAACCTTTAAACCATTGCTTTGAGTTCCTGCCTTGACTTCCCTCAAGGACAGTGACAGGATTATAAAATGAATAACACCTTTACTCTCTTGCTCCTGGTCAAAGTGTTTCTATCACACCCACAGAAATCAAACTAGGACAGCCTGCGACGAACAGCAGGTTCTAGTATCAACCGACAAGCTCGGTGGCATTTGTGGATGCTTTATCTGAAACCATGGAGACTTAACACATTCGGGTTCTTTTGCATCATTTGTTATCCTGGGCGTGAGACTCTTTAAGAACAAAAAAGTATATTCTGTGGCAGTAATGGAGTTCAATGAGAAATAATGGGGTTTGGAAACCACTCCCCAAACTTGGGAGTTAAACAGCATCCTTCTAGCTAAATAATGATTATGAAAGATGAAGACATTACTTATATTAGGGGTATTTATTTATTCATTTATTTATTTTACAACCTGACTGCAGTTTCCCCTTCCTCCTGTACTTCCAGTCCTTCCCCTGTCCCCTCCTCCCCCTCCACGCCTTAGGAAAGTGCAGATTTCCCATGGGTATCCATCAGCTCTGACATAACAAGTTGCAGTACACCTCTCCTTATAAGTGAGGCTAGACAAGACAACCCAGTAGGAAAAAAAAAGGGTTCCAGAAGGCAGGCAACAGAGTCAGAGGCAGCTCCCCGCTCCCGCTGTCAAGAGCCCGACAAGGAGACCAAGTTACACAACGATAACACGTGCAGAGAATCTATGTCAGTCCCGTGCAGTCTCTGAGCCCTGTACAGAGGTTTCTAGATTATGACTTTGGGAAGGTGAGCTTTGGTGATATGACCAATAGTTGCTCCATTTGTAGTCTTTCCCGCTCTCAGTCCTTTGATTTGGATTTGCCTGATCACATGTTCTAGCAATGCCAGTACCTAAAAAGACCAGTGTCTAGATAGTTGGCTTTAATTTCTATTTGTTCACAACATAATGTGTCTGCTTTTTAAAAAGGATACTTATAAGTTTATAAATTTGTCTCAGTTTTGTGAAAAAGTAAAACAAAATTCTATTTTTAAAAGATATGGGGGCTAGGGAGATGGTTCAGATGGTAAAATTGCTAGAAACACAGGCCTGATATGTGAGTTTTATCCCCAAAACCCAGGTAAAAAGCCAGATGCCAAAGCATCCACTTGTAATTCTAGCACCCTTAACAGCAAAATGGAAGCTAGAAGCAGGAGAGTCACCTTGAAACTGGGGCCAACTAGCTGGAATTTGCAGCTAAGTAGCAGGAGAGAGAGAGAGAGAGAGAGAGAGAGAGAGAGAGAGA